ACCATTTCATGCCTATAACCCCTTTTAGGGTCAATGACGGTCAAAGTCAAGGTCAAATCAAAGTCAACGCTCTGAGTTGACTCAACTCGTCGAGTTTACTCTTCAACTCGTCGAGTTCCCATGAATCACAGAATCATGAAATCATGATGCAACTCGTCGAGTTTCCTCCAACTCGCCGACTTCTTCCTTTAAACAAAATCGGGACTCTTCAATCCAACTCGTTGAGTTCTTCCAAGAACTCATCGAGTTATTCATAATTCTTAATCTGTTAAGCCCTTTTCTCAAATTTAAAGTTCCAGAATATAGATCCACATTGATTCCATGGTGTACATTCGTAAAGTAGACAACTTGATGGCTTTGCATGCATCAAATGGACCAAATCTCGAGATATAGCAACTTACTTATATTGATATGGCCTTTACTTGATTATGAATGGGTCTAGGGCCCTTTTTATGAATCTAAGGACCAAATAACACTGAGAATGGAAATTTTTAGTCATTAGAACTATGAAGGCTAGTCATACTCCAACAATGGGGTCAAAATATCCATAAAATGAAACTAAGGGAGATCTAAGCTATTAAGCATCAAGTTTGAGACTTTTTACCTCAGAAAGTTGCCAAAGATGAATGAGATCCCAAATCTAATTCTTCTCCTCAAGCTCAATGACTTTCTAGCTCTTCCAAGTCCTTCACCAAGCACAAAAACACACAAAAACCTCTAATTTTTCAATCAAGGAGCTTACACACAATTTAGGGTTTTGGAGGTTGATAATGGGCATCCTTTAAATACGGTGCAAAACCCTGGGAATTAGGGTGATATTGCCATATTTATACATATTTTTAGGTAATATTTAATTACATTTTGATTAATATTTTGGTTATTTTCATAGATAAATGGTACTTATAAGGTTAAATTATATTTTGTAGCCAAAAGAAGACATCTTGAAGAAAAAGTACTGAAAGTGTCAAAGATTGGAACTTTGGAGCTTAAGAGCTTAAAAGATGAAAAAACCAGCAAAAAGAGAACTCACGACGTGAGCTTAGACCTTCTATAAGATAAATATCGCAGAGCAAGAGTCTGTGTTGGATACTAATAATTACTCGACTAACGACGTGAGACTTCTATTCTCAAGATGTGAGTGGGGTTAATTCGAAAAAATATATAAACCCTTGATCCCTACGAATTGGAGAGGTTGGCTAGCTGGAGAAAAGTTCAGAAGTCGTTTTTCAGAAGGATTGAAGGCTAGGAATTTGGTTTAAATACCAAGGAAGAAGGAGAAGATCGTAATTAACTTTCTAGTTTGGTGCTTTTATGATGCTTTCAACTATGACTTGTTTGAGTTTATTTGTTATTATGAGTAGCTAAATCTAACTGCTTCTGTTATCCAGATGAAACTGGAACTCATGGTTTGTTTATAATAACTTAGACTTTTCTTGTTTGTTAATGTCTTGTGTTTGATTGATTATACCTAGCATGCTTGATTTGATACTAGATTGCTTTAGATTATTATTCTGTGTAGTTAATGACCATTAATATGCATGAATTTGATTACCTAGTAATTTATTGAACATTAGATTATTAGAGCTAAGATAGCACCAATCATATATAAGTAATTGAGTATTGAATTTGGCTATGTTGGAGAACTCATATTATGAACATAGTTGTGTTTGTCAACTCAATCTTACATAGCTCCAATTCTATTAAATAATTGATTATGTGTTAAATTATGTGTGACTATGCATAGATCTACATGAATTAATTCAATATTAGTAAATTTGGAATTGAATTTCTAATAAAACATTAATTGGTAACTAACAAGAATTGTCATAATTAGTATATAAACCATTGAGGGAAAGTGGATTCAACCTAACATAAGTGTTTTATAATTTGATTGAATAGTTGTTGATAAATTAAGTTCATATAAACTTGCAAAATTAGATAAAAACCCTTATTTTGCTAGAAATTTAGGTTAATTTAATAGTAGGTAAATTAATTAATTAAAACTGTTCCCTGTGATCGATACCCGACTTACCTAAACTATTCTATAATCCGACTACGTACACTGCCTAGGTGTATTTTAGTTAGTTAAGCTAGTTAGGTTATAAATTTAAAATTAGGTGTAGCTATTTGCAAGCATCATAAGGTTGATTGAATAGTTGTTGATAAATTAAGTAAATATAAACTTGCAAAATTAGATAAATACCCTTACTTTGCTAGAAATTTAGGTTAATTTAATAGTAGGTAAATTAATTAATTAAAACCATTCCCTGTGATCGACACCGACTTACCTAAACTATTCTATAATCCGACTACGTACACTGACTAGGTGTATTTTAGTTAGTTAAGCTAGTTAGGTTATAAATTTAAAATTAGGTGTAGCTATTTGCAAGCATCATAGGGTTTGATCCCAGCCGGTCTACTCATCGAGTTGAAGCCTCCAACTCGTCAAGTAAGTTTCTTAAACCCGCGTCCAAAACAATCTATACTCGACAAATTTGGGGCTACCAACTCGTCAATTTGCGCTATGATATTGAATAAATTATAATTTAAATTACATAATAGCGTTACATATTTTTCATAAAAATATTTACAAAAGTCGCGAAAACGGACACCGTGAATCGTTTAGACGCAAAACTTCGAATGTGATTTCCTGGAGTTCCGTAACTCCAAAGATTAATCCGTTCGGGTTTTTGAAATCCTTGAATTAAATCCAATCCATATGTATATTCTAAAATTGTTCTCGATATCTGGATCCCAACCTACCCGATTATGTGTGCTTTTGAGCCATTAATAAGGGCGTAACTTTTAAGTGGGACCCATTAGGATTTGAAGAAGAAAATATCCAGGTTTTCTTCTACTTTTCTCCCACTTGACCAACTCATTTCTCTCCATCAACTTCTTCTTTTCTTACACCCCACCTCATAAGGTACAAGTGAGGTGGCAAAGAGTGTCTAAGTATCCAAGCTTACATGATGCATGAAGGCTTCTTGAAGACTATACATAGAGGCCTTGGCCCTCCATCTTTAGCACAAAACATTAGCTCTCCAATCACTCTCTCATCCTTGATCACAATCTCTCTCTCTCTCTCTCTCTCTCTCTCTCTCTCTCTCTCTTTCTCTCTCTCTCTCTCTCTCTCTCTCTCTCTCTCTCCCTTTGTTGAAATCAGCTCGAAACAGAAGAAGAAAACCAAGAAGAGTCAGCCATCTTCGGAATTTGTCACCTTTAGACCCTCTTCGATCTCGAAACTATTTAGCTTTGGATTTTCTGGCCACTTCAGAATTCTGACCAACTTCGAAATTTTGTCCACTTCGGACCCTTTTCCAATTTCGGAGCTTTTGACTTCAAATTCTTTGTTAGGTTCAAACTTTTTTACCCATTTCGAAGCATCGGCTTCGAAATTTCTATCAGTTTCACATCCTACTGACTTCAGACCTTCCACTTCAGAATTCACCACCAGTTTCAGATTTTAGCAACTTTGGATCATTTTTCTTCTCAGATTTCTATAGCCTTAGAATTTCAACCAACATCGAAACTTTTGCACCTCGGAAGTTTTACCACTTTGGGTGTCTTACATCATTCCCAAAGGCTTCTATAGTGTTTTCAATCATAAAAAACAAGCTAATCTCGGAAGTTCAAATTCACAACAACCAACCTCAGTTCTTACAATCCGATACTTAAAAACAACTCGTTAACCACATATCAAGGTGAGTGTTACTTTTACAAATTTTCGGGGGGGGGGGGGATACATGTACTACTTTTAATATATCATATATATACATACATAAATGCTTTTACTATACAAACAATATCATCATTTTTACGTATTATTTACTACTCTACTACTTATGGTACGAGGAGTCTGGTTTGAAGGGCCGCCTGGGTTGTTGGATTTCTGATGTGCTTAAATGCCAAAATGATCCTGCCCTCTTGTGTTTCATGTCTGGCCCTCGTCTGTACATGATAGTACGTGTACTAAATGATATATATCATACCATATACACATGAAATATCATTGTTTTGTGTAAACACATTACTAGTTGGTGAAATAATTGTTAAACATTTATATGTTAAGTAAAGAAAATTGTTTTAAAACATCAAGATTTACATATGTTATGTTGTTAAATAATACTACTAATAAAAAAAACATATACACTCCAACTACAAATGTGCTATGACTGTATAGACGGTTATCAACTTGGATGTTTCAATATACCTCATACATACACAAAATATATAGATTTATATATTCATACAAGTTATAGAACTTGTATCTTAGGCATTTATGTGCTTGTACTCTAAGTTTTATCAATTTTTTAAACAAGTATTGTATGTTTTTACGGTTATCAAATATACTTGTCATCCATCCGTTTATCCGTATTTGCCGTCGTTAAATACAACCTTGGTAGATGACTCTATTCGTCTATCCGTACCGTTTCGTTACTATAAATTTGACTAGATGTTTATTACCTAGAAACCATAATTTATATGTCTACCAGTACCATTCCATTACTATAAACTTGACTAGATGTTTATTACCTAGAAACCATAGTTTATATGTCTATCCGTACAAATTGAATACTATAAACTGGACTAGACTTTTATTACCTAACAACCTTGGTTTATATTTCTATCTTTATCAAACATTCTTCCAAACACAGTTTTCTCACAAAGGAAATACTTTTTAAAAGTATTATACTGTGGTTAAGCAGAAAACCTGTGACACTCACCAACCGTTGTGTTGACCCTGAAACATACATGTATTCTCAGGAGATCATTAGATAAGCTTTCAGATAGAAGATTAGTCGTGGATTACAAATGGCTTAGCTATCTAGTTTTTATTATATGCCTACTTGTTTAAGGCAACTACTATCTATTACCACTTATAAGAACCTTGTATTCAAAACTTATGGTGAAATATAAATGCCGTTTTGTTTATTGTTGTACTTGTGCTATATATATTCAATTTATCTGTGATCCATGAACTTAGTTGCACTCCCGACATGTTCCGCCTTAGCCGGGGGTGTGACAGGGTTCTCACCCATTCTAAAACTCTTAATGGTGAAATCTCTAAGCTTCATGATGTTTCGAAAGAAATTCATGAGATTCTTGCAAAACAGCTTGAGGAACCAAAAGTCCTTTTACAGCCTCAGATAACAGATATTCAAACATTGCTAGAATTTGAAGTTAAGAAGTTTGATGAGAGTTCTACTACGCTACATAAGAAGTTGGATGTGGTAGCTAAAACAAATACCCTATTGATTGAAGATATAACATCTTTTAACAAGGATTACACGATTACTCTTCAAGACAAGATGGAGGGGGATACTCAAGTCTTTACTTAAGTGAAGAGTTTTTAGTTGAAATCAAAGCCATGCTCTCAACACAATCAACAATTTCCCCAGAATCCATTTCTCAAATGGTTTCTAATATCGAGTCAAAAATTAATGTTGAACTGGATTCTATTAGGAATTTAGTTCTTCGACTTCCAAAAAATTCTCCTCGTGCTATGCAAGATTCGCAAGGGGGAGAAAAAGGGGAAGGGGGTGTTGGTTCGTCGAAAGCTTCATGAGAAAGTATTGGAATGACTGTGGGAAAGGTGATAAGTACTCAAATCCCATCAACTATTTTGATGAAGCTCATAAGTTCATTTTCACCAACAACTACAATAACAACAAAAACAATAAATTTAACAAAAGGAGTCTCTATTAATGAAAAAGTAGGAGGTTCTAGTTCAATCCCTACCAAATAAAATTCAAGTGTTAATTGAAAAGATACAGGAAATATCTTTATGTTGCTCAGTCTAATGAAGATAAGAAAAAGCACAAGCTATTGAAATTGAAAGATAAAGGCAGATAAATAACATTTTAAGGCAACAAGCAAATGAACCATCTGTCGTGAACAAGGGTGGTCCCAACAAGCAGTGGTGTTATGAAACAACATAAGAAATTGTTGCAATTGGATCGAATGATGATTTTTGTAAAGTGCCAAAGAGGATCTATGATATAGAGAATTCTGATTTTAATCAGCTTGACTTCCCAATCAATCATATGTTGTTCACTTCTTCACAATTCAAGATTGCAGACAATTTCAATGATAAAGAAGAATTTTGAAAAACTGAAGATTCGCTTTCACGCAGTCTTGGGGAGTAATGAAGGTGAAGTGTGGTCTTTTGTGAAGATTGACAAATTAATGACCATTGTGCGTGACAACTTTTTTGAAAGTCTGCTACAAAATTTTCGTTATGTTGTTGTAAGGGAAAATAGCGTTGTGTTTGAGTTCACTATAGCATATTTCCCTTTGATGAATTTGAATGATCTAATCACGATCACAAAAATTTTGAGCGTTGTTGATGTATCGAAGATAATAGAGACTAATAAGGATGATTTCGTTATTGGATTTGCTCATATCAAAGCCTTTCTTGACAACTACTATGACTATTTGGCAATCATAGACATTGATTTTGCCTTAGCTGTTAACAAGACATCGAAAATTCCTCAATCTATATTTAAAGGAAAGTTGAATATTGGTGATTTTGAAGATGGTGAAATTATTCATCAATCATTTGGTGTCGTGTTCAAGGAGAAGAACAAGAAAGGGCAGATGACAAAGATGAAATTCAAAAATCCATTCTATGGTATATGGAGATTTGAAGGGAACTTTTGTAGACTATGTAGTTGATTGCTTGATATTTGACTTTTCTCACTAAAGGGAGAATGTTGGGTTGAATGTATATAGCAAGAAGTCGAAATTTGTCAGAGTCTACAAGTTTCGAAAGTAGTTCAGTTTTGATACTTTATCTATTTACAAGGCAATTTTAGTTTCGACACTTAATGTCTAGTCCTTGTAATTTTTGCTAGTCACTTGTACCATATAAATAGGTTAAGTACTTAGAGTAGAGTAACTAACTAATAATCATTTTGTATATTGTACTCAAACACTCTTTTGTACTCTTCAGACGTCACTAGAGCCAAACAAATCTTATTTAGATCTCATGTTCTTTACTGCTTTTATTGAATCCATTGTGTTCTTAATCAATTATAACACTTTTCAAAAATAAACTAAATCAAATTACTTAAAATTACTCAAATTACACATATCACTCCTTGTCTATACATAACTTCAATGTTTTATGCGTTGCACATTTGTATATAAGTACAATAGCCTTAAGAGTTTTGTAACCCATCCCTTCAAACATGTCGAGGGATGCTTATTTGAACACTTCATGTTCTTCCCCTGCCGCATACATCTTTTTCGAACTACAAAAAATGAAAATTATAGTTAATAATTAATAAATCAAGTTATATTTCATGAAATATACATTCATAAGTTAATGTTTATGAGAATTACCAAGTTCTTGGATATATGATGTCTTTTGTAGATTCTTACCCTAACTTTGCAATAATAAGAGTCAAAATCTCTACTAGAAGACCATCTAACAAAATACGCCGTTTTGTATTAGACATTCTACCAACAAAATAGACATTGCATAAGTTGATATCATTTTTCAAGAAAAATAGGCATAAATGTGAAATACGGTGTAACAGGGTAAGAAAAAAGCCTTTCTTTGATGCACTGGTCGTGGACTAAGTACCAACTTCAATAATGTTGGGGAAAATCGATTATGAGATCGATTCTCAATAAAGGATGTTGGGGTTTTCTTTGATCGCCATTAGTTTGTTCTACTGAAAGATTGTAGATGTTTAGAATTGTTGGATTAGTGTCTAAGTCCATAACTATTTTGGTATGTACTTGACCTGATTGTGAGCATGGTCCTTTTGGGTTGCCTTCACCATAGCAATATGTAGGATGAATTAAGGAGAGAAAGGTTTAATTATGATTTATTAATATATTATAAGAATAATATATTAAAGGATAAATCATAATGTTTAGTTAATATTAATCAAGAATTAATTAAGAATTAATTTTGTGGCTAAAAGAAATTAATTAAACTTAAGGGACTTGTTGTGTAATTATAAGATAATAGTGGACGAATTCTATGGGGAAACCCACTAGAAATCATCCAAGGCTTCTAAAGAAGGAGTCCATGGACTGCTTAGGGCTTAAGCAGTCAAATTAGGGTTTCCTTGTTAGATAACCCTAATTGCCTACCTATTTAAGGAACCCCTAAGCCCCAAAAACGTGGTGAATGATTCCCTTAGGGTTTCTAGATGATTTTGAGTGCTCCTCTCTCTTCTCTCTTCATCCAAGTTGCTTAGTGGTGTTTGTGACTCCATTAGAGGTGCAACACTTCAGGTACTAAGTTTTCTGAAGCCATGGATTGATTGTTATTGCTATATAACAATCAAAGGTAAGATCTAAACCCTAATTTCAATTATAGTTTGTTAGATCTAGGGTTTATGGCTTTGGATAATCAATTGCATGTTCATTAGACAAACTAGATCGAAAGTTATTAGGGTTTGCATGTACACCGTAGGTATGATGTATTGCTTAAAACCCATCAGTGATATCAGAGCTTAGGGCTGTTTGTTGATGAATTGATGCTTATTTGATAGTTTATTGGTTGAAAAATCAATTTTCGCACCATCTGCTGATGAATTGATGCTTATTTGATAGTTTATTGGCTGAAAAATCAATTTTTGCACCATCTGCTTGACTGACTCTGCGAGTTAGTATATGAACACGGCGAGTCAGGCTGACTCGCCGAGTCCAGTCTTTGACTCAACGAGTCCAAGAGTCTGATAGCGATTTTTGGCGATTTTCTTGCTGTTTTGGTTTGGGATACTTACCATAAACGTTTTTAATTAATAAATCTGATTTTTATTAATTTTTGGTGAATATCCTTACCAAAATAGAAGATAATTACCAATTAATTATAACTTATTGCCTTATAAGATAACCTTTAATTATTTGAGTTATTTGATGAATTATCTTGCAAGAAATTGAATTAGGTCAAATTTAGATAATTACCAATTATTTGTTTAATTTAATTATTTGTAATTTGACCTAGATAGTTTTGAAAAGTTTCAAAACTTGCCCTCAAGTTTTGGAATTTAAAATTTTGATTAATAGTTTAATTGTGTAATATTTAAATTCTAAAACCCTAGTATTTTGAAAAGTACAAATTACACCCACATGGTTTTGTTAAGTTAGTTAAAAGTTTAATTAAAAATAGAAAGTTAATAAAACCACCTAGTATTTTAAAAGTGTAAAATACACCCTATACTATATATATGTAACATTTAAAGTCTAATATGATATATATATATATATATATATATATATATATATATATATATATATATATATATATATATGAGTAAAGAGTCAGTCTTACCATTAGTAGGACTCATTTACGAAGCTTGGGGTGTTTAAGGAAATTGCCTATAAAATGGCGATTGAATGGTATCCACTCTTACCCACCGCACTCTTGACTGATGGAGGGTCGTTAGCTGAATGGATAGGATATGACGAAACCTTCCATTATAAGTATAATGAAGTACAAAGTAACTAAATGTTTTTCAAATTCCCAAAGCATAGTTACTTTAGGCAAAATGTGAAATTGTATGCTAATCCATGGAATGACACTTTGTACCATTGCTGAGATGTTAGTGGAGCGTGTGTGGTTAACCGGCACACTAATTTGGGTTTGGCATTGGTGGTATAGGGTAGCTAGATGTTTGTCATAGATCAATGGAGCGTGTGTGGCTAACCGACACATTGATTAGGTGATAGTAGCATTGAGTGCACCACGTGAATCGCATGGTTATTCACACCTTGTTTGTGATCCTCGGCATCCCAGTCACAAACTTGAAGAGCATAGTCGAGATTAAACATGCCATTGAAAAGTTCAATGAATCTCAAAAGATCTAGGATTTTCAATTCATTTAAAACTTAAATTTCTTTTTCGTTTTTCATGGTGGAAATTGGTAAATCGTCATTTACCTACCTTCAAATATTCTGCAACTAGATTACGGCATCCCTCTTCTAGGTTGTAGAGTATTGTGTTGGATCCTAGCCATAATAACTCATTTGGATGTTTTATTAAGGACTCGATCAACTTAACTTGAATTTTCTCCCGTTTTGTAGATGTCTGAATTTTACAATGGTCTTCGCAAATCCTTTGGAACAAGCTTTCCAAATGAAGATGACGTTCCAAGATATGATCAAGGAAATGAAAGCCATGCTTCACTTCCTCCACCTCCTCCAATTGTTCTCCCTGACCCACAAGTTCAATGGATTGAAAAGATCAATCTCACTCAAGCCCTATTGGCAAGTAAGCACGCAGATGGGAAACCTGTGTGTGCACACGTCTTAGAGATGAAGTCACGCATTGATAGGTTAAGGATGTTGGGTGTCGATATCTCAGAGATGTTGGCTGTTTACTGGGTTCTTCGGTCACTTCCTGATTCATATAGTGAGTTTGTGAGAGAGTTTATACTATGGTTCACGACGTGACCCTCATTGATTTGACCTATTTTCTTATTGCTGCTGAATCAACGATGATTTGGCGCATTGGTCAAGCAAACTTGATTGGTCGATCAAACTCCCATACTTCAATGGACACTAGCTACATTGGAAGTCCAGAAAAGGCTGAGATTATCCTTTGCTATGTACCAAAGGAGTCCATTTGCTTTTACTGCCAAGAGAAGGGGCATTGGAGACGAAGCTGCCCTATTTACCTCGGAGATCTAGGAGATGGGAGAGTCAAGACGTATGGCTCTACTTCAGGTAAAATACATTAACTAACTCTATAAGTTTCTATTTTTTGGTTCTTAATATATGATGTGATAAGATTACATTTTAATGTTTTGCAGAATCGAAGAAAAGAAAGGAAACTTAATGAAGAAACGTGCTGAATCTGATCACGAAGAAATGGATTTTGATCGCATGGATTCAAAGATCGGATTTTTGAGCTGCTGCTTTAGAGTTAGGGTAGATTGCTAAGAAATATGTAATAGCATAGTTTTTCAGTTGAATTGCATTGTAAGGACAATTTTTTCCGCAATAAAATAAATTTTGAGTTTTATCTTATTTATTTATCCTTACAATGACGTGTATGAAAAATTGATGTTTGTATATTTCTATTAGCAAAATGGATTTGATTCTTAATTAGATTATTTGTGGAAGTGTCGAGAGTTTACCAAATAGGGAGAGTTTCTCATTGCGCAAGTTTCAAGTGGATAGAAACTTGGAATCATGCAACGTGTATTGTATGATGAATGAAAAACTTTCACATTTGGGAAATTTAGACTAATTCTTTGACAAAGTTGTTGGATTAGTGTCTAAGGATTGAAACCCTAATCACAACCCTATATAAAGACCCTTAGGCCTTCAGAAATCGCACCACCCATTCTCTAGAGATACCAAGGCCGATTTATGTTCCTCCTCCTCCTCCTCCTCCTCTCTCTCTCTCTCTCTCTCTCTCTATCTTTATAGTTTCTCCAATTGCTTGTGGTGTTTGTGAGCCATTAAAAGCATTACATTTGTGGTGCTTGCTTTCAAGACAAAGGGTTTGGAGATTTGAGTTGTTATTACAATATAACAACAAGAGGTATGTGATCTAACCTTTTATGTGAATTTAGAAAATAGCATTGTACATTAGGGTTTTATTCTTGTGTTTATAATGTTGAATATCTAATAGTGAAGACATAGATCCAAAGCTAGGGTTGCATGTACACATAGGATTGTTTGTATAAAAACCATCAGTGGTATCAAAGCCATTGGTTTACTTGTTTTCAATTAGTATATTCAAATGTATGAACTTGAAAAATTAGGGTTTATAGCCAATAAACCCTAGGAGGCTATAGATTTCGAGATTAGGGTTTCCTAACCCTAATTTGCAAAAATATCATGAAAGGATTTGTGAATCCTTTCCTTTGATCCAAGATTTCGAAATCAAGGGTTTGCAAACCCTTAGATTTCGAGATTAGCCTTCTTCCCAAGATAAGATCCTAAATTTTAGGGATTTGGATAATCCCATATCTTGTAATTATCCTTTAATTGTTAAATATGGTAATTGAAGATCTTGCACTATCCTATCCCTATTTTCGAGATTTAGAGAGGGATTCAAGGGATTAGGATATTTTAAATGTATAAATGGTAATTATACTCATGATTTAATAAATCCCTTGTGATTTAATAATTCAAATTAATTGTTTAATTTATGGTAATTATTAAATCAAGAGAGTTTTAATATTTAAAATTTTAATTTAAATTGTATTAAATTTTGAAAATTTTAAATTGAAGATTAAAACCCTAGTATTTTGAAATGTTTATAATACACCCTATACTATTATATTATTACAGGTTTACTAAATATATATATGTATAATTAAAAATGCTAGTCTTACCGTTAGTAGGCCTCATTCACGAAGCTGGTCTATAAGGTGGGTATAAGGTTGCTGCCTATAAAATGACGCTTAATGAGTGTACACTCACACCCACCACTTGCTTGACTGGTGGAGGGTCGTTAGCCGAACGGGTAGGATATGGCAACTCTATCTCCTCATTAAAAGTATAATGTTAAAATGCAAAGTAACTACATGTTTTTCAAATTTCCAATCCTAGTTACTTTAGGAAAAGTGAATTGATGCAATTCCATGAAATTACACTTTCCAACCTTTCTAAGAAGTTAGTGGAGCGTGTGTGGTTAACCGGCACACTAATTGGTTCTAGGAAAACGTGGCAAAGGGTGATTCATTGTTTATCATAGTTCGGTGGAGCGTGTGTGGTTTACCGGCACATCGAATAGGTGATCGTAACAATGAAGGCACCATGTAGATTTGCATGGTTATTCACACCCACTTTGTGATCCTCGGCATCCCAGTCACAAACGAGAGGGGAATATCGAGATTTAAACATGCCATTGAAAGGTTCAATGAATCTCCAAGAAAAATCTAGGAATTCTCAATACATTTAAAACCTAAGCCTATGTTTTTCATGATGAAGAATTAGTGAATCGTCATTCACTTACCTCCAAATTATTTGCGTGTTGGATTACGACATCCCTTTTCTAATATGTAAATAATGTTGTTGGGTCCTTGCCCTAATTTTTCATTTTGGGTGTTTAATTAGGGATTCAATTCTAATCAACTTTGTCCTTTCTATTTATAGATGTCGAACGCAAACAACGCTGCTGCTAACTCATTCACGTTAATGAGTCTTTTCCAAAAGGTGACTTTTGATGGAACGAACTTTAGCGAATGGATAAGATACATTCGCACTATTGCATGCTACGAGGACAAAGAGTATGTCCTCGACGAAAAGCTAGAGAAGATCAATCCAGAAGTCGCCACTCCCGCTGAAATGGCTGTCTTTGAGACCCACAAACGTGATGCAACGAAAGTACATTGCATCATGATAGCCACCATGAACCAAGAATTCCAAAAGTCCTATGAGGACATGTATCTGTATGAAATGCATCAAGACTTAATGGAGAGGTATCATCAAAGCGTGAGGCAAGAGCGCTATGAGATCATTACGAATATGATCACCGCTAAGATGGGAAGTGGAGAATCTCTTACCGTGCACTTGCAAAAGATGCAGAGATATGTCGATCGTCTTCGCAAGTTAAATATTAACTTTGGGGGAGGATTTGGCTATTGACATTGTATTTCACTCCTTGCCTTCATGCTACAACTAATTTAGGATAACCTACCACATGAACAAGGAAGAGGTCACCCTAAGAAAACTCCAAGGACTCCTAAGGACTGCTGAGAGCAACCTAAAGGACAAGTCTGTTGCACCAACTCCCAATCCATCCACTGCTCCATTTTTTGGCTATAGGGCAGGGAAGAGGCAAGAAGAGGAAGGCTCCATCAAAAGAGCCACCGCAAGGGAAAGTCCCAAGATGGTTCCTCTTCTAGTGGTACCAAGGTTGATCCTACTAAGCCCAATCCTAACCCGAAGGAGGCAGAGTGTCATCATTGCCACAAAATAGGGCATTGGAAGAGAAGCTGCCCGAAATACCTGCAAGCCATCAAGGATGGAAAGATCAAGCCATCTTATGCAAGTATATACACAATTAAATCTAATGATTCATCACATGCTATTTCTTGGGTTCTTGATACAGGATGTGGTTACCACATTTGTTCTGATTTGCAGGGACTAGGAAGAAATAGGGATGTGGAGCATGGAAGAATAAATCTAGTCATGGGGAACAGAAGAACGTCGCCTGTCACCAAGATTGGAGTATATTCTTTAGTGCTTAGTAATGGATTAAATTTAGATTTGAGTAATTGTTGCTACTCGCCAGATATGGCAAGAAACATCATTTCATTTCATGGTTTATTTAGACAGGGATTTAGATATTCGTTTAATAATGAGAATGGTTCTATTATTGCTTATCTAAACGGTCTCTTATACTTTGAAGCAATACCTTGCAATGGAATTTATGAAACTGTTATGGTTGTAGATAACCTAGGAAATGATGTGTTGTGTATAGATTCTTCCAATAGTATGGATAAAGCATCTTTGTGGCATTGTCGTCTTGGACATGTCAACAAGAAGCGCATAGCCCAACTCCAAAAGGATGGAGTGTTGGAGTCATTCGACCTTAGGGAAGATGACACGTGCAAATCTTGTTTGCTTGGAAAGATGACCAAGTCACCCTTCACTGGAACTTGTGCGAGGCGTGAGGGTTTATTGAATCTCATACATACCGATATATGTAGGCCCTTTAGATCCACCACAAAGGATGGAAACCGCTTCTATGTGACTTTTACCGATGATTATAGTAGATATGGGTATATTTACTTAATCAAGCACAAGTCAGAAACGTTTGAAAAGTTCAAAGAATTCAAGCATGAAGTGGAGAATCAATTGGGCAGGAAAATCAAGATGCTTCGATCTGATCAAGGATGAGAGTACCTAAGTCTTGAATTCCACGACTATCTCAAGGAATGCGGAATAGTTTCGCAATTGACGCCACCTAGGACACCGCAACTAAATGGTGTGGCAGAAAGGCGTAATCGAACCTTGTTAGACATGGTCCGTTCTAATATGAGTCGTGCTTCACTACCTATCTCATTCGGGGGGTATTCCTTAGAGACTGCCGCCTATATCCTTAACCTGGTCCCTACAAAGGAGGTTGCTAAAATACCTCACGAGATGTGGACTGGGAAGGCTCCCTCGTTGGCACATATCAAGGTTTGGGGCAATGAGGTTTTTGTAAGATGAGAAACTCACGATAAGCTCGAGCCTCGTAGTGAGCGATGTATTTTCATCGGTTACTTGCATAAATCCTTTGGATATCTCTTCTATAGACCGAATGACAATGTTGTCTTGGTTGCGAGGAGAGGGGTTTTTCGAGAGTGAGAACTCATAAGCCAAGGAGACAGTGGGAGGCAAATCAATCTTGAAGAGATTCAAGAATCTAGTGATGAAGGAACCCCTACCGCTGGCACTCAACCCGAGGAGGAAACTCCGGTTGAACCAATTGACGAGTCCTTACCTCTTAGACGTTCCGAAAGAGTTAGAGTTCAACCCCAGTTTTATGGTTTTCATATTACTACTGAAGGGGACACATATATTAGTGATAGTACACTAATAAATTTAGATAAACCTAATAGCTATAAGGAAGCCATGGCAGGCCCAGAGTATGAGAAATGGTAAGAGGCAATGGATAGTAAGATTCAGTCCATGTATGATAACCAAGTTTGGAATTTGGTTGACAATGTACCCGGATGTAAGATGGTTGGCTGCAAATGGATATTCAAGAAGAAGATCGACGTGGATGGGAATACACACACTTTATAAGGCGGGATTGGTGGCGAAGGGCTTTACTCAATCTCCTGGAGTTGACTATGATGAGACCTTCTCACCAGTTGCGAAAATAAAGTCTATTAGGGTTATGCTAGCCATTACTGCATTTCATGACTCTGAGATATGGAAAATGGATGTCAAGACCGCTTTCCTTAATGGGAAGTTGGCTGAGGATGTTTACATGGATCAGCCAGAGGGTTTTGTCGATACGAAGCATCTCGATAGAGTGTGCAAGCTTGAGAAGTCCATTTATGGGGCTTCAGCAAGCATCTCGCAGATGGAATCTT